TTCCTCTCAGCAGAGGTCTGCTGCGTGGAGTTCCACTCCTCGTCCTCACGGAGCAGATCTTCTTCTTGTTTGTTTCTGGCAGTAATCTACGGTAGATTCCGAGCTGTTCCCGCTGTGCGTGCGTCTGGTTTTAATCGTCCAGCTTTAGACTCTGTGCTCATGATGTCGACCCCCCCCCCCCCCCCCCCCCCTCTCTCCCTCCCTCTCTCACCATCTGCCAACTCGATGCAGCTGTTGCTGGTCACCAATTAACACAGTGCATGTGCTGCTGTTGGCAGAGCCATTATGTAAGGCAGAGTGGATGACGCAGTGCTCCTCTCCATCACTCCGACTAATCTCCCGTTTGTTCTGCTTCATCCTCTTTGACCCCTCGCAGCTCTGCAGGTTCTTCTGGAACAGTCCACCAAGGCCAACTCTCCACTGAAGGGCCACGAGCGAACGGTGGAATACCTCCAGAGACTGGGTGAGTGAGTGAACTCTGCTCTGTGCTGGATAATTAATGATGGATAAAGTGTATGGTCCACACATGTAGCATCACTGTGAGACTTTGGTCCAAAGTTATGGCTGTTGTTTTTTATTTTAAATTTAAGTGTGAAAAAACTTCATGAAAAAAACAATTTGCTCTTGATTTTTGGAGAACTGCAGCAGACGATCATCTGGTTACTGAGAAACTGCCAGAACACAGTCAAACGATCGTACTCTAAATCCAGATTTAGTTTTTTAATGTCTCAGTGAATGACTAGAATTCAATATTTGTCTCTGATTTTCTCATCTATTAACAACAGGTCTGTTCTGTTGTTTGACTTATTCTGTTACATGGTTACAGATCATGAGTAAAGTGCAAATGAAAAATTGAGGGTTTTTTTTCCTGGTTAGATAGTGTAGTGGTTAGTGTGTCTGGTGCCTCCTGTGGTAGCCTGTGGTAGTTGCAGAAAACTCACACTACAGTTCCCTGTGTGTAATAGTTTCTATGATTACACAGCCAACTGTAGAAAAACAGCAAAAACAGGCTGGAATTATAGTTTTGCTTTTCATTCATCAATTGTTCACACAGATAATTCTTTATCACAAACTCTTCTTAACTTTTATTAAATGTTTTGTACTATATTTACCTTTCTTCCATTGTACTGTAGCCACATTTACTCATGACTTTTTTTGTTTTCCATGAAAATAGAAAATACCAAGTTAGTATTTAAATCAGATTTCAGTCGTCATTATCTGTAATTTAAACCTCACTGCTTTGCTCTAACCCTCCGACACAGGAGTGGAGAACATGGGAATGATCTTTGAGTTTTCACCCTGGGTGCTGAAGAACTGTCCTGAGGACGGACTGAAGGTATCAGGACACACGTAGAATCTGAGCGATGTTTTTTGTTATCAATTTTAAATTTAAATTTCTTAATTTGATCAATAAAATCTCTCCTGTCCAGATTTTCACTGAAGACCTGACGGAAGTGGAGACTTTGCCTCGGGACAAGGTGCTGAACTTCCTGAAGGACGGCTTCAAAGAGCTGGCCATTCCATATCTGGAGCACATAATCAATGTGTGGGACGAGAAGGAGCCGGAGTTTCACAACGTCCTGACCCTGCTCTACCTGGAGAGTGTTCAAGTCCTGATGAAGGAATATCTCAAATCTCTGCCAGAAGGTGTGAACGAAATATGAACTGACGTTTGGTTTTAATTTGGGTTTTAGGAACATGAAAATGACTGCATTTTTAATATTGTTACATCTGGTGATCATTTTCTGAGTAATCCTCCCAGTCGGTTTTTGTGTTTCTGAGAGAAATGTCGTCATTACATTTTTATAAAAGCCGTTGGTGGATGAAGAGTTTCATTTTATCCCACAGCAGGACACCAGTTCACTACAGATTCATTTGACCTACACACACACACACACAAGTAATCCATTAATCAATTCCTGATATAAAATTAAACTCTATTGGACTCTCCTTGTTGTAAGACAGTTAGAATTACCATCAAATATATGAATGTTTAACTTGTATATGAAACTGGAGGGACAGTTTGGGGAGAACGATGTAACCAAACAGGTCTTTAAATGAAGGGTGTCTGAGCTAACGATGCTAACAGTAGGTGCTCTGTGCAGGAGTTCCAGCTGTGGCTGCAGGACAAGAGGAGGGAAAACTGGGAGAGTTCAGGAAGAAGCTGCTGTTTTTCCTGGAAACTTCCAGCAGCTACGAACCATCCAGACTCATCAGTAACTTTCCCTTTGATGGTGAGAAGTGACCTGAGGTCAAGGTCAAACCGCTAAAACACACAACCTGTGTGCAACTTAGGTTTTTTTTTTTTTTTTTACAATATTTGAATATGTTTTTTCATTTTATTTAAGAAAAAGTTCAGTGATTGTGACTTAAATATGAACCAAAGTGTTATAATATTTTTCAAAAAAAAATCAGTTTAACTTCTCTGTTGCATCCCATCATGTGCTCGGTTGCTCTTGTCTTTCTGTTCAATTAATCTCCTCAGTTTAACTTCTCTGTTTCATCCCATCATGTGCTCGGTTGCTCTTGAGCTGAAGGGTTAGACCTGACCTTTTGACCTTTGTCTTTGTATTTCTAAGGTCTACTGGAGGAGCGGGCTTTACTCCTGGGTCGAATGGGCAACCACGAGCAGGCGCTCTTCATATACGTGCACATACTGAAGGACACCAGCATGGCTGAAGAGTGAGGACTGTGATCTGAGAGTGGATCAGCTGTTGTTTTACAGAACTTTTGTTGTTGTTGTTGTTGTTGTTCACCTTGTACATAAATGTATTAATTACTAATGCTCATGTTCTTATTTGAATCTCCTGCAGATACTGTCACCGACACTACAACAGCTCAGTCGAAGGAAACAAAGATGTAAGTGTGTTTTTCTTTGATTATTTCTCTGTAGAAAGTCTAACACACACATCTAAAAGATTCTGTGGAAATAAATGTACATATCTCCAGTTTCCTTCCTGTGATGGCACTTATTTCCTGTTTCTATTTTCTCTGTTTTTTCTGGGGGAGTGTAATGCATTACATTTATTGTTGCTGAATCTATTAGTACTAGTTGAGTGCACATAAATAACAGTAAATACTGTGTGCGTCAGCTATAGTCTGGGTCAGCATGGACAGCAGCGTCGTCCTTGTTCTGTAATGTTCCCTAACATGACGGAGTCCCACATCAACTCCATCAAACACTCACGTCTGTCCTCCTGCTCTGCAGGTTTATCTGTCGCTGTTGAGAATGTACCTGTCGCCTCCTGACGTCCGCTGTCTGGGGCCCATCAAGATGGAGGTGTCTGGGCCTCAGGCCAACCTGCAGGCGGCTCTGCAGGTCCTGGAGCTCCACCACAGCAAACTCAACACCACCAAGGTGAGGAAAGAGCCCACGGTCATGTCTCTGTCTGAACTCCTCAGACCTGCCGACAGATTGGTGGATTATTAATCCAAGTTTCCTCTGCAGCGTCTTCTGTCAGGGTCTCTAATCTGCTAATCAAACCCCAGTGAGGATTAGTTTCTAATCCAGTCCAGGCGACTGTTTGAGAATCTGGTCAGTGGTTCCTGACAGCTGGCCATTTTATTAGGTACAGCAGTTCAAACTCCGGATGTTGATGATAAAACCAGACGTCACACAGTAATGAGAATGAAATACAACTGAAGGCACTCTAAATGTTGTCATTGTTTACTGGTCTACTCATCTACCACCTGCTGGTGCAACCAGAGATTTGCATCAGGAGGGTGCAGCATAGAATCTGCATTTGCAAATTTTTTAAGACAAAAAAAAAATCAGAAGAGACCTGGAGACTGGATGTTGCAAAGTAAAAGTATGTATTTATTATATTCTATATAAGTTCTGCCAAATCAGCATCCACCGAACAAACACGTGGCTGGAAACAGTCATATGTTCGTAGGTTTGTTTTTGACACCATAGAACTAAACAGTAAAATATGACGGTTCTGGAACACAGACCAGAACTGTTTGGTTGGTTTAAAACGGTTCCTGTAACTAAAGCCTGCTGCAGCTGTGTGGTGGAAGTGAAGCCAGGACGACACTGTAAACTGTTTAACAATCCAGGAAACACGGAGTTCATCGTAATTGTTCAACTGTGGTGGGAAGGATCAGGCTGTGGTGTGAACGTGACAAGCATCTGCGCTCTGATTGAGACAAACACCATAACTGAAGTTGACACTCGTTCAGTCAGAGCTGGTCATGTGGCAGTGAGTCTGACGTTTCCAACCACAGTCGTCATCAGAGGTTTGACTTTCACTGGGATCAGATGAGATGACACTGCTGGCTGAAAAAGCAGTCAAGTCCACAGAGAAGAAGGGGTTTACAGCAGGAGACACCATCACTCCCCTCAGATCTCCAACATCTGCTCCGACATCCCAACTAGTCCAAAGTTAATTCAATTAAAGTCTTTCTTCTATTTTGGATTAAAACAAACCCTATTTTCATGGCAAATGACTTTGAGGTCAAAGTTCAGAGAACACTGTCCAATGATGGCGTCCCAGGAGAAGAGTTTGATGAAGCTCTGCTTTTAGCTGAAGTCTCCACGGAGAAGAAAAATCTCCATACACTTCTGGTCAGCAGATTGTCTTTTCCTGTTTTTCTTCTCGTTAATGTTCTTGTTGTTTGTCTTGTAATCTTCTCGTGAATCTTATTGTTGTTGTTTTTTTCTTGTTCTTTTGTTGAATCTTCTTGTTTTTCTTGGTCTTCCTGCTCTTGTTCTTGTGTCATTGTTTTTCTCCTCCCTCTTGTTCTTTTTCTTCTTCTGCTGCTGCTGCTCCCTTCAATATCAATGATCTCACCCTGTATCCTCCCTGTTTGTACTGCTCCACTTCCATCCCCTCGTCACTACATCCATAAATCTCCATCTCCAACACCCTTTGTTACATATATCCAGTATTTCTCCTCAACAAACGTCCAAACCACCTCAACCTCACCTCTCCACCTTTATCTCCAAACTGCTCCACCTAAACTGTTCCTCTGGTCTGGTCACTGCCAGTGAAAACCTCAGCTCTTCATCTCCTCTGCTTTTAGACTCTTAGACTCTAAACCACACATCATAGCAGCTCTCACTACTGACCTCTGCTGTCACAGATCATCCCTGACCTCCGTCTCCATCCGTTCACTATAATCTGTTCTACTGACGTGTGTCGTCCTTAGAGACAGTGTCATGAAGTAAAAACAAATCAGCAAAATCAAACTCAGTCTTGGCTGCCGCTGCCGCTGTTGTTGGTAACTTCGCTCTGACCGACTGTGACTGATGGTCATTGTGTGGGACAGAGTCCACTGAACTGTGTCCAACCACAGGAAACATCACATCTGAGGCCCGTCATGTGGAAAACCACATCTTTGTTGTGGTGTGAAGGTTCAGATCTGTCCTTCAGCTGTGATCACACTTCACTGCTTTAATATGACAATCACTTTCACTGGCCGTTCTCCCAGAAGAGAGTCCTAAATACAACATGTGACTAAAATGAAGTCATTTTATGTCCACTGTGGGTTGGGGACGATGAACGACCCATTGTTAAGTTCGAGCTAGTCTCTGGTTTTATGTGTTTGGTCCAACGATCCAAACAAATGCATTTAAATATGAACCTGTTTCTGCCTCCAGCTGCACATTGACTGTGTCTGAAGTTTCTAAAAACAAAACTGTGACGTCCTATACATCATGTGACCTGTCGACTGATCAGATGTTAACCTAATATCAAGGTGATTGTTTGCAGTAGTACTCAGGTTGCACAGTAGGCTCAGGTAGTTCTGCTCTGCCTCGACAACAGTGGCAGAAGTTGATCATGAAAAATAGATGAAGCCATTTCATTTCAAAGGAGGGAAATCTGAGGCCACTCCATATGTTTATGACGGTCCATATTTTTTTACATCCATGGCCTCAATGGTGTTCTTTAGTAGAAATTGATCATTGTGTAAAATTGTAATCACATTTAGAGGAAAATCGATCAAATACAACGGGTGATAATTAGATCCTCAGAGTCCCAAGAACACAGGACACTTTAAAAAAAGGTGTCCTGTGTCTGTGTGAGGATTAGTCACCAGCAGGCTGTCCTGGGAAACCTTTGAAAAACCTCCTTTCTCCTCCTGGAGACCAATGTCTGATCCAACTGATCCCTTTGTGCTGACATCCTGGAATCCTGGAGAATCTTGACAGACAAATACTTCTGATGCGTTCATAATGTCAGAGAGGCCGGGATCTGTTTAGAATGAACCAACCAACAAAGGTCGGGACTAAACCCTCAAATAAAGCCCACTGTTTGGTTTCCAGGCCATCAATCTGCTCCCGGCAAACACTCCGATCCGGGAGATCCGGGTTTTCCTGGAGAGCGTCCTGGAGGAGAAGGCTCAGAGGAAACGCTGCAACCAGGTCCTGAAGAGTCTGCTGCAGGCCGAGTACCTCAGGGTGAGTCCTCATCACTTTGGTGTCAGAGGTCATCGTGTCATTGGCAGCTGGGACACTATGTGTTCATACTGGGCTCTAACGCTAACCTGTTCTGTTTGTTTGCTTCAAAAATAAATTGGAAAAATGCTGTGACTGTTTGACAAGATCTAATGTTATGATGTCATAATTAATACTTATTATATGGTTTAAATGTATTGTTTATTATTTAAACTGACAGTTTGATATCGGTGCATGTGTAATAACTGTGTGTGTGTGTGCGTGCGCAGGTGCAGGAGGAGAGAATCTTCCACCAGCAGGTGAAGTGTGTCATCACAGAAGAAAAGACCTGCAGAGTCTGCAAAAAGAAGATCGGCAACAGGTAACGATCCACAAAACACCAACAGATTCACAGTCGAAGTTCGTACAAAACAACTGAAGAGGAAAACAACGTACAGTACTGAAGTACTACGAAGTGTCCAGCCTGGAAAGACTTTTCATTCACACTTTAGCCTGAAGAGGGCAGTGTAAATATATGAGATCAACATGTTCTCGATCGTATTCCACATCACTCATGCATCCTGATTTTCACGTTAGCGTTTTTGTCTTGAGGATTTTATCAACGACTGTTTTACTTCACACACTTGTTCCTCCTAACGCAGCGATTCCCAACCACTGGGCCGTGGAACACTGCTGGGCCGTGAGAGGGCTTTGCTCATCAAAACATGAAAGGCAGAACAGTTAAATACTCTTCTGCTAGGTGGCAGCAGATGGCTATGAAAACTAAACAAAAAAAAAACATAATCAGAGCTGTTGAAGAAGATCTTTGTGAGTGTCTTTCTTCAATTCCTGCCAGTATGTCAGTGCTGTCTTCAACTAAACAGGCTGAGATTTGAGTCAATGATGAGGTCAGTTAAACTATTACATTTTTTTTTTGGTGATGTTTTTTTGGCAGTGTGTTGTGGGATTTTTCCTGAGGATTTATGTGTTTTGGGTCAAAAAAGGAAACAGTGAAGAAACAGTGCTCTAACCTTCACTGCCACACACGTCTGTCTGTAGACTGTCTGTAGACTGTCTGTAGACTGTCTGTAGACTGTCTGTGGACCTGTTGTGATGCTGTCATTACCCACGGTCAGTGAACTCCTCCTCTGTCCATTTTCTGCCGCAGTGCCTTCGCCAGGTACCCAAACAGTGTGGTGGTTCATTACTTCTGCTGCAAGGACCGCACCGTGTGTCCCAGCGAGCAGTAACTCCTCGTCCTCCCGTCATCCTTCCTCCTCGTGGACGTCCATCAGAGACCATCCATCCAGAATGGTTCTGAGTGCTGAACTGTGAGTGCAAAATCATTTTTGGTTGGCTTCCTTGTTTCTCTCGCTTTAAGCCAAGACGAGGACTTTCTGACTGTGCATGAAGAAACAGGAAGTGAGTCCAGGCTCAGTCAGCAGGAGGAGACACTGAGAAAGACAGGGGGAGACAGTGAAGAAGACGAGGAGAGGCAAACGCTGAACCTTGAAGGAGCTGCTCCTGTGACCTTAGTCAGGAGTTTGTCAGTCTCTCCTCTGGTGAAGGACCAGGAGACGAAAGGAGCTGTGGACCATGTTTGTCCTCCTGTCTGTCTTTGTCCTCCACCAACACTGTGTTCTTTTATATGAACTCTGCTTCTTGGCCATAAATACTGAGCACTAAAGCTCTGCTCTGCCTTGTGTGACCAGAGATTGTCTTTGGAATGAAGTGGCATGTCTGTCTTTTCTTTTGTTTAGCATGTCCTGGTACTGACCGGACAAAACAAAGTCAAACCTGCAAGATTCTTTTTTTTATTGTACATTAAAGTTAAAGGAAATATATTTCTGGTTTTAACACATGGGGGCGTTGTTTATGGTCAGAGATTACTGTAAGTTTGGAAAAAGTTTTATTTGTTGATGGTTAAGGTTACACAGCTGAACAACATTTAGGGTCTAGGACGTCAAGAAGCTGTCCCTAATAAAATGGCCAGTGACTGGAGGTGCAGGTTTATTGGCTGACGAGGCCTGTAATCCTCCACACAAACCCTGTTTTTTTTTTCTTAAAGGCTGGGTGTTTCATAGGGAGTCATTCAATGTTGCAGAGCACTGGTCATGTTATTTTGAGGACAATAACAGAAATATTCTACTTCCAGAGTTTTGCTTCTGTAAACACTCCAGAAATTTGGTCTTTGTTGGAAAAAGAGTTTAATGTATCTGTGTCCTTAACAACAGACACTGAAAACTGTTGAATTGTCCTTTAAGTCAAGTGGCGTTTTTCCACCTCTCATTAAATACTATTCTCTTCATCTCCTCCTCTTTGTGAATAGACAACATTGAAGGTTTTTAATGATATTTTTGACTATTCTGACCGTTGTTTATTCTTTTTCTCTTCATCCTGACGTTTAATGAAGCAGAATGAAACGATGGCCGTGGTTGATGGTCAGCACTGTTGTCAAATTCAAATAAAATTAACTTAAAATTAACTTAATATGAACACGACGCAGTAGAGTTCAGGTAACGAGATCAATATTTTAACCTTGTTCTGGTACAATATTAATACGAGGATGACGTTGAAACATGTCCAGTATTTGTACTGGTGATGGACCAGAGCAGGAGAAATCCTCAAACACTGATGAAGGTCTGTGTACAGCAGCAGGTTTATGATGAAAACAGTTGACCTGTGACCTGTGACCTTTGACCTGACAGATGGAGGCAGCTGTTTTTCTCTGCTGTGAACTACTGAGTGACGGGGTTTTATTCTTTACCACTGACGTTACAACTGGACGTGACGTCAGTGTCTGAGCAGCGGTCTGACCTGTGCACATTGTTTAAGGCAATATTCTAATGAAGTGGAGTGAAATCGATGAAGCAGCAGCAGGACTTCAACAGAAGGATGAAGATCAGCCAGTGTTTTCAGTGAATGTTGAAACTCTGGCCAATGAGAAATGTGATCAATTAAATATGTCTTTTTTTTAAAACCGCAATCACAGTTGAATCAACATTCAACCACAAATCATTAGCATCTTTGAAACAGTCGACGACAAACGTTGCACAGATTCTTTACTCTGACTGTTTGAGCTCCGCTCGTCTGTTTGTTTGTTTGTTTGTTTGTGTTGATCAGTTGTACCACAGTGTGTTCACCGTGCAGACACTGAGTATTATGATGATACCACAGGTACTGTGTGTGTGGTGGGGCGGGGGGGCGATGTGTAATAAACAAACATTTCCACTCCCACTGGTGTCTGTGTGACGACTTCCTGTCTCAGTCGTTGATGATTCAGTTTTATTTTCCTCAGTTATTTACCTTAATACTTTTAGTGTTGATTTAACCCTTTCATGCATGATGGTCACTACAGTGGACAGCTGAAATGTCATTTTCTTTGATAAGAATAGGTTTTGATGGCTGTGTTGCATATAAGCCTCTACAGTGGACGCCTGAGAATCACCCAACACTGCCATACAGTGGTCAGCCTTTGCAACTGCAGAATAATTGTGTCAACATTCAAAAAGAAAATTTGGTGTATAAAAACAGAACCAAATCAGTTCTTATTTTTATGTCTAAAAACACATAAAAACTCTTAGTAACATTTTTTAACTCAGTATATCATGGGTCATGCATCAAAGGGTTAAATCCAATTTCCTTCTTGTGAGAATACGATTTGGTGACGATTACGATGTCATTGTATGTCCGTCAGACAGTGGGCAGGTGGTCAGTGCTCTGCTCATACAGCATGAAGATCACCAGTTTGCTGGTTTGATTCCCGGTCTTTCTGTATGGAGTCTCCGTGTTCTCACCAGGTTTTCCAGTTTCCTCTCAGTCCAACAACAACAACAATGTGACTGCAGGTGTGAATGTTAGTGTGAATGAGTGTTTGTGATGGACTGGAGACCTGTCCAGGGTGTGACCCCGCCCTCACCTGACCACTGCTGCTCCACTCTTCACCGTGTGAAGGATTCACTGTTAAAAGATGAATGGATCTTCATGGTAAAACTGGGCCGTGACCGGATTCTTTCAATAGGACCCAGTTTTCCGTGGGGTTCAGAGTTTAGCCAGAGTCTGCAGACTTCCCAGCTGTGGCCTACATACAGTAGGCTGCAGGCCCTGAAGTGGGACACGGCTCTTATCTTGTCATGGACAGTGCAGCTTCATCTCCTGTGGAACTCCTCATCTATCCCTGATGGGCTCAGTATTGTGGAGGCCGTGCTGCGGAGAATGGTCTCACTGTTACTTGTCCTGTTAATGGACTTCCTGTACTGAGCTCAGCCAGCTGGAGTAACAGAATCACAACAAGGACCACTGCTCAGCAACGCACTTAGTCACACACACACACACACACACACACACACACACACAGAGTCGCTGAGCGCTGCCAACTGCAACGTTACACTGCAGCCGCAGATGGACTTTTATCTGTGCTGCGTCCAGAGTGTTGGAGCAGCAGCGGAGCAGATGGACGCGGCACAGAGGGACTCAGATACAGGTAGTGAGTGTGAGACCACGCTGAATTATTCATCAGGAGTGTGTGTGTGTGTGTTTCACTGCAGCGTTGTCATGTCTGCGATGATTCACCAGTGTGTGTGTGTGTGTGTGTGCAAATGGAAAAGACCTTCCAGTCAGAGTTGGCCCACGGTGGCTGAGTCTCCCCCACAGCAGGCTCTGACTGACACCAACCAGAGGATCGCTCTGGTCACACTTTGTTTCCTCCAGCAAATATATAATGATGAAAGACTGTAATCCTCCCTCACCCTCCCTCATCCTCCCTCACCCAAAACACACTCTTTACATATTGTTGTAATATTATGAAATATTGTTTCTGGTTTACATATTTATATATTTAATATGTAAAAACATATACTATCTAAACGTATTTAAATAGTATATGTTTTTACTTGTTTATATACTATATATTATACTATATGTATTTTACATATTAACAATTATTGTTTTCATATTATATATTTGTTTTATTTGCTTTCATATTGGTATGATTTATATATTATATATTTATATATTATATATTTACATTACATTACATATATTTATACATACATATATTTACATATATATGTTTACATACTGTTTACATGATCGTATATTGTTTACATATTAATATATTAAATATATTTTACAGAATGTTAAATCAATTTGAATTTTTTACAGTATTAAATGTTGTTACTTGTTTACACATTTGATTTGCTTTACATTTTACGAATTATTGCCATAGTATTTTAGGTTTTATATACGTTTTCTATATTATACATGTTTACAAGTATAAATGTTATTAACGTTACATCAAGACAGAGTCAGGGAATGTAGTGTGAATTAAACCTTTTCCCACACATCTGTAAATACAACATGAACACCAGGTTCATGCTACGTCCGTCATATTCCGTCAGCTCAGTCTGGTTAGCAGGACAGCAGGTTTACTCAGGGAGGCGTCTGTCGTCGGCTGTCACTCAATCATTGTTTCATCATTTATGTTTAAATAAAAAGGTCTGTTTGAACAGATTGTTGTGTGATTGTCACGCAGTTGGAGGTGTTGAAGGTGTTGCCGTGGCTAACAGTCGACAGGTTCATGTTCAGAAGTGTCAGCCTCACAGACATTCTACTGACTGTACCGTCTTTGGTATAGAATGAAAACATAGATGTATATCTGTTAGAAGTCCACTCTGGACTCAAACCCCGCGGTCTGTGATTCCTCATCAGGTCCGTCAGTGGTTCAAACCTGCTGAAACCGGTTTGTTAGTGTGAACTGAAACATTGTGTCTCCAGCCTGAAACACCAAGATAAAAAAAGGTTTGTTTCATGTGAAGGGAGTGAAAACTCCAAATGTCACTCTGACAGTTAGAGGCAGAAAATAACAACAACTAAGATGGTTAACACAAAACAGGTGAGAAGGGTGAGGTAATCACTGAGGAGGAGGGAAACAAAGGAGGCGGAGCCATGAGGACCAGAGAGTCTGAACACCTGGGAGGGAGACCAGACCTAAGACAAGAACAGACTAAGAAAACGATGGGCGTTAGCACTTTAGCGCCCCCTGGTAATGCTCCGGGAACATTCACCTCACGGAGCTGCTGACATGTCTGTAAAATTTCATTCCTGCAGCGTCGACATGATGGTTTTTACAGTATAAGAACAGAGGTTTTCCTCTGCTGGCTGGAGTCTACATTTAGTCTACATCACAGTAAAACATATTTCCGTCTGATTCTGAGACATGTCTGTCTACACATCTGGATTATTGAAGCTGGTGTTTGTGGTGTTTTATGGATCATAAAGATGGCCGCTCTCCACAGGAGGAGCGTTTGCTCCTTACTCCTCGTTGCTGAGACCAAGACCAACAAGAGTTGCTGCTGCTGTGGTTTCCATTATCCTAGTGTGTCAATACTGTTGTTGACTGATAAATAAACCAAACTTCACTTTTGTTTTTATACCAAAGTGTCAGACAGTTTGCAGCTGCAGGATGTAGAAGGTGGAGAACCGGAACGTTAGCTCAGTCTGTCCATAGATGTGGTCTGTCATCACCACCTGTGCTAGCTTATATGGTTCCTTAAGGTCTAATGATATGTCAGTGACATGTATGGTGACGTGAACAGATCACAGCTGGGTTCTTCACACACCTGTCTCACAGCCCTGTTCTGTACGGCTGCTGTCTTCTTTACCTTGAAATAGTAATGAGTACGGATGTCCGATAATATCGACCGACCGATGTTAGCATATTATGTAATATCTGTAAGAATCGTTACAGAATATTTTTTTCCTCCCATAATGAAAAACCGATAACGCAATGCCTAGGTTTGGCCAAATGATGTGTGCCCTAAAAATAGTTTTGGGGATAAACGACTGTATATTAAAGTGAAAATCACTAGATGGCAGCATTGCAGCTCATTTAATTAATCTCATATTCATACAGCAGTTTGTACAGATAAGAAATTAGGCCTGTCATCAGGCCAAATCAGGCCTATATCGGTTGATATCGGAATCAGAATATTTTTTTCCTCCCATAATGAAAAACCGATAACGCAATGCCTAGGTTTGGCCAAATGATGTGTGCCCTAAAAATAGTTTTGGGGATAAACGACTGTATATTAAAGTGAAAATCACTAGATGGCAGCATTGCAGCTCATTTAATTAATCTCATATTCATACAGCAGTTTGTACAGATAAGAAATTAGGCCTGTCATCAGGCCAAATCAGGCCTATATCGGTTGATATCGGAATCGGAAGTTAAGGGTTTGGACAATATCGGCATATCGAATAACAACAAAAACTAACATCCAGTAGAACTCCACGATCAATAAATCAAGACAAAGGGCTGATCGTTCACAAATTGGCCATTGTTGTCAGATTAGCTCTCGATCGCTAGCTTTTCACCAACTATGAACTACAATCACTTTAACAGTTTGACAAAGTAGAAGAACAGGGTTGGCTTTTTTTTTTTTTTTTCACCTCTAAGATCCCAATACTGCAGCAAAGCACCATGGGAAACCTGTGAGAGTTGATCACAGCTTAATGAGGACAGTGTCTCAGATACAGTAAACGTTTGCTGTCTGTGTGTGCGTGCGCAGTTTGTTTAACACACACATAAATGCACATTCCTGTGTGGAATTCCTCTCTGATAACAGAGGGAAGACTGGCTGTAAACTGTGATCAGGTTCAGGCTTGTACAGTTTAGCCTCAGTGTGTGTGTGTATGTGTGTGTGTGTGAACACAAACACACTGTTGGCAATGAGAATTGAACTGACAACCTGTGTTTTTGCTGCTGTTAGAGATAAAGTCTAAAAACATTGTTTATCTTTACGTATGTTTCATATCATTTTAGCTGTGTTGGCTAACGTCAGGCTAACGTCAGGCTAACGTCAGGCTAACAACAGGCTAACGTCAGGCTAACGTCAGGCTAACGTCAGGCTAACGTCAGGCTAACTAATAGTCATTATGTCCTTATGTTTTTCTTCACTGATTTCTTCTTCTTGTTCATCATCACTCTTTATTTTATTTCATTTCATGTTTTCGAGGACATTTGTCTCAGTAAACCCTTGTCTCCAACTACGGCCAATTTCACTTAGGACATTTTTCTTCTTTTTTTTACTGTCGACATGGGAATGTGAATCTTTGTCTTTCCATGGTTCTCAGAGGAGCGACTGTTGACACAGGCTCTACACCAACGCTGCTGGAAAACTCTCCACCACAGCAGCCTCCGTTTCCTCCCTGCACCCACTAATCTGTACTTCACCAACCCCAGCCTCGGGCTGGACTGGACTGGGCTGGGCCGCACGGCCTGTCCCAGACAAGAGAGTGTGTGCACTGTTGTCCTCAGCTCAGACACCTCAGCTCAGCTGCTGCGGGTTCTAATCCCTTCATCGTCTGAATATGCAGACATTTCCATCCTCCTTCTCTCACAGCACCATTTCTCTTTTTCAGTCCTGGAGTGAAAGAAAAATCGTCCATCCTCCACACTAATGAAGACAAACATCTGAGCCAGATGTGGTGCTGACCTCTGTGACCTCTCCCCCTCCCCCATTAAATAAAGAATTAAAGTCCCCCAGGCTTCAGGCTGTCGGCCCTCTGCAGGCTGGACGGAGGGACGAGGACAGAGGGACGAGAGGAGTGAAAGAAAAATCGTCCATCCTCCACACTAATGAAGACAAACATCTGAGCCAGATGTGGTGCTGACCTCTGTGACCTCTCCCCCTCCCCCATTAAATAAAGAATTGAAGTCCCCCAGGCTTCAGGCTGTCGGCCCTCTGCAGGCTGGACGGAGGGACGAGGACAGAGGGACGAGAACAGAGGGACGAGGACAGAGGGACGAGGACAGAGGGACGAGAACAGAGGGACGGGGACAGAGGGACGGGGACAGAGGGATGAGGACAGAGGGATGAGGACAGAGGGAAAGTCATCAGAGGATATTTTATCAGATGACTCCTGCTCTGGTTTGATTGAGTGAGATTGATGTTACAGATAAGAGTCTGAAAATGCCAGACAATTAGCAAGTACTTATTTTTATTAGAAACATAAAAAACGTGTTAGTAAAAGAAAAAGGTTAACAGTGGAATTAGGCAGAAAGAGACAAACGGAGCTGAAGAAAAGACTGAAGTTTTAAATCATTCAGTTGCAAAACTGTGATGAACCAGTGATTGAAGTAACATCCTGACAGACAACAGACCAAAGGAGACCTGTCCATGTGCCACCACTGGCCCTCAGCCCCTATGTTGGACAGCCCTGGGCGTGGGTAGAAGATCTTCATGAAGCAGAACATGTTGAACATCCACAGCTGCTGCTGTAGAGCCCCCCCCCCCCCCCCCCCCCCCCCCCACCCACACACCCACACAACAGCGATGGTGGTGTGTTGGGGGGGGGTGGTATGAGCTCACAGTGGATTTCTTGTGGGACCTCAGCCTCAGCTCCTCCTCTGTTGATCTTCTTGCAGCTGTTTTAATGCTGTTATAGATCTGCTGCTGCTGCTGTTGTTTTTTTTCTTCTTCCTCTCTCAGAGGTCGTCGTCTTCCTCTTCTGTGATCTGTTCTTGTTCTGTTTAACGCCTCTGATTTATTCTGTACGCAGCAGCGGTCGCCGAGGTCGTCTGATCCAGAATTAGGTTCAGGAGTTTCAGATGAATATTCATGGAGTGTGTGTGTGTGTGTGTGTGTGTGTGTGTTTTCTCTCCTGCAGATCAGTTCAGATGTGTGGCATTAATTGAAGATCTTCATTTACATCCACAGTTCAAATGGACTGGAATCACAGGAGTCCTGGTGCAGTCTGAGGACAAGGGCTGAAGAACAGCCGCTGTTTGTGACTCCTGCTGGAGGAGGAGGAGGAGGAGGAGGAGGAGGAGGAGGAGGAGGAGGAGGAGGAGGAGGAGGAGGAGGAGGAGGAAGCGGAGGAGGGGGAGGAGGAGAGGAAGAAGAGGGGGGGAGAGCAGGAGGGGGAGGAGGAGAGGAAGAAGAGGGGGGGGGGAGCAGGAGGAGGAGGAGGAGGAGGAGGAAGAGGAGGAGGAGGAGGAGGAGAGGAGGTGCAGAGACACCAGGCTCAGAGCTGGGACAGAAACGCTTCTTCAAATGTGCATTCACTGTCATTTCGTTTTTATGCATTTAATCACATTTGATTTTTTCCCCCCGGAAAATAATGTTTAATTTGGGAAAAAAAAATGAAGTCCCTGGACTGGATCGAAAACTTTACTTTCTGTTATTTTCAGCTTCATAAATCAATTTCTCTCAGCTCGGCTGTTTTATGACGGAGGCAGAAACTGAGGAAATGTTTTTTATATTATACATTAGAGCAAGAATAGTTTGGACGATAAATGTCACGGTAGAAAAACGAGAACGTTTCTTTTCCAGACGCACTGTGACCTTCAGTTTTCTACAGATTTAAAAAACAAAATAGTTGGAAGGAAGAACTAAAAGTGGAAGTAAAAAAACATTTAAACATTTTAAAAACATAATAAAAATCTCTATATAATAATAATAACTTAATTAAAATAATAATAATTTAATAATAATATATATATATATATATATATATATACATATATATACACATACACTAAACTACGACATATGATCAAAAATAGTTTGGGTTAAATGCCACTTAGTCATGGTCAAAGGAATCGAATTCAATGAAATCTGAACATGTATTTCGTGTTCCTGGTTATTTTTCTATATATATTTTTTTTTTCTGATTTATGCGACTGTTCTGAACAAATATAAACATGTGATTTTACTGTGATTGTCAGCAGTTACAGCTGAAGAGGACAAACGTCTAGTCCAGTTTCCTAACGAACTCTTCTGTGGGTATTTTTCTTCATATATATTTGGCCTGTGTTTGTGTGTGAGCGCGCGTGCGTGTACGTGTGCGTGTATTTGAGTGTGTGTGTGTGTGTGTGTGTCAGCTCTACGAGCCTCGGCGCTAGGACCTTGGTTGCGTCAGTGCGCAAATCCCCGCACAGACGCAACAGCAGCGGCGCAGAAGAAGCGGCTGAACCAGAGCAGAGACCACAGTCTGCTGCTGCTGCTGCTGCTGCTGCCATTCACACCATCACCGGTGGAGGAGGAGCAGGAGCAGGAGCAGGAGGAGGAGGAGGAGGAGGAGGTGGAGTAGGAAGCTGCACCTTGTGCCGGAGACGCAGCTGATCCACCCGGACTCCGCTCCGTATGGACTCACCATGCGCCGGATACGCGCCAACGCCATCGCGATCCTCACGGTCGCCTGGATCCTAGGAACCTTTTATTACCTGTGGCAGGACAACAAGCCGCAGTCCTCGACCTCAGCCTCGTCCTCGTCCTCGTCCTCGTCGTCCTCAGCGTCACAAAGCCGCGGCAGGAACCATGGACAGAAAGCGGTTCCTGGGAAGCTGGAGGTCCACCGAGACGACAGGACCATCGCTCTGATGGTGAGTGAAAACGGAGGGGGGAGAGAGGGGGGGGGGGGGTGGAAAAACGGGGATAAAAAAAAGGCGTGGGGGGGGGGAGGGGGGGGGCGGGG